GTCAATGAAATAAATATGAATTTATAAACAAAACACACATTATTCGTATATAGTGGAGTTCAGATATTAACTTCCAGTTTCTTCTAACAAAGAAATGGGGGCCCCAAAAAACAACTATATACAATTATAGAATTAAGTCTATTCTACTGTAGTCTAAATTTTATTTCCATAAACAGTGACATTGGACTGATCCATGCAGTCAATAAAAAGTAACGCCTTTCTACTACCATCACAGGCCTAGTGTCCTGACCTAGACAATGCTGCTTTCTGACCCGTCTTTCTGACAGGAAATAAGTCATGCTATTTCACAGGCTGTTTCCTCAGTGCCAAGAAATAATGTTCGATGCTGTGTGGAGAAAGCAGAGCAGAGACGGGACCTAGCATTGGTCAGCCAGAGGCAGCCCAGCCTCAGAAAGAGGGAGTGTGCCAGTGATCCAGTCATCCACAGGCACACCCAGAATTGTACATTTTTCATCTTCCAGCTGTTTCTTAACCCATTCAAAGCATGATTACCTGTCACAGCTTAACTAGGAAAAGAAGAAAAGCTCAGCCACTTAAGGTGATTCTCTGCATCTACACAAAACAGTGATTGGGCTGATGGAACCTATGTCTAGATTCCTGGCTCAGCATATTTAGAACTCAAACAAAATGGTAAGTGAGCTCCCTACATATGTAGCTTTCATGTATAAAACTGGCTTCCCTTCTATACCCAGCCCTGTGCTGAGGTTTGGGCTCTTAGTTAACCCCATGAAGCTGATTGACAGATACAGCCCATTGCAAAGGAAGGGCCATTTCTTAGGGAATGGGTAATCTGCTATAAATATTTAAATATTCTGCTAAAAATCAAACCTCAATTGAGATAGCAAAAGAAACAAAATGTAGTTTCGTGACTTTGGAAGCATTTTTTTTATTACTGCTAAAAAGATCAAAAAGATTTTGACAAAATTTTTGAAATGGATGCAAGCCACCTTACAATCATTAACTAACAGAGGCTTTATTACAGAAAAATGTATTGCTGATAAGAATGATTTAAAGTAATACAGGTAACATCTAAAGTAATACAGGCAACCACTTTGGTTCTATTTATATTTATCCATTAATAACAATAAATACTTGCCTATATGTACTGAATTCTTGTTCTTAGGAACCTTATTTAACAATAGAGATTCCATAAGGAAGAATGTGAGCTATTACAATAAATATGTCTTTTCTGAAAGCACACACAAAACAAGACTGTATCATGCTGTTTCACAGAAGAGGCAATAGGAAAATCAGCAGGCCAGGGTGAATTTGCTGAGATTGGTGATGAACTGAACCACAGGCTGCCAAGGCTGCTGTGAGGTGATTGGGCATCCCTGAGAAATGAAGTTGAGGATGCTCCTCGGCCCTGTATTCACTTGGTATCCCAGTAACTTTCTTATTAGACTGCTATCATGTTAGCTGCTTCATGGCAGATGGTCATGAAGGGGCATATCCTCCACTTGGGGCCATATGGTGGACTAGAGCTTGCCCCTTCTACTCAGCTTGGTCCCATCTGCCCAGACAGGTGTTTATAACACGACTGATGATGCCACTACAGAATATGTTGCAGGAAGTGTCCTCTTTAATCCCTGGCCATAATTAGCCCTTTATTAGGGGCATAGATTAGAAGAGTACACTTGAGAATTGCTATAGGTTCCGATTGGAAAAACCACATTACTAATGACTTTGGCAGAAGCAGAGTTGGAGCTCCTGATAATTACAATTTCACCAAACCAACTGAGACTCAGGACTGCAATTAAAAAGAAACGATCTTCCATGTATAATGGCTTTCACACTGCATGATACTATTAAATAACCATCATTAGCTACTAAAGCATGTACCGCCCATTTTCCAGAGCCTTTTCACTGCCAAGAAATTTAAGACAGAGAATGATCAACGAATGAATCATCAGCATAATAATTGTTGATATAGGACATGCAAATTGGAATAGCTCTGAATGATTTAAAAGAGTAGAAGGAATTATTACAGATGATAATATTACCCAGACATTAAAGCTTTTTTTTTTTTTTTGCAAAAGATAATATCCATGGGCTGTTTTGAAAAAACAAAATAAGGAGATTTCAGGTGATTTTCTAGGTATTGTGTTGGGTTCTGAGGACAAAAGGACAAATAAAATATAGTTCCTGTTCTCAATGGCTATGAGATTTATAAGGTGGGACAGACAAGCACACACACACACACACACACACACACACACATACACACAAACACACACATACATGCAGAATAAATTGTGATGAATGCAATAATCAAAGCCTGCACCTGGTCCAGAATAACACAGGGGAGTACAGCTTGTAAGAGAAACTTAGAATGAGGGAAGATTACTCTGCTTAAAAATATCAAGCTTCCTCAATTAGGACTTTTCATCTTCCCTTCCTGGAAAACAGCCTTTTTGTCTTTCTAGAAATGTTCCTATTATGGAGGAACAAAGAAGGGAGAGCTGGAGAACAGATAAGTTTCATGGAGAAAAGAAGCTCTTCCTAAACTTTTCAAGACTTTAAACATATGAGTTAAAAAACAAAAGTTTTCAATATGATTTAAAAAAGAAGGCGAGGGAGTCCTGACTTCTCACAGGCTGTAGTCTTTGAGCATCATAGCAACACCAAACCTATATTAATTTCCCCATATCTTTAAGAAATATTTATATTGCACAAGATCTCAGGGGAAGGCAAGTTTCCTAACTGGGCTCTGCTCTTAGTGTGATTTTAAAACATCTATACAACTCCAATCTGCATGTTGCTTAGCCCAGAAGTGCCACCTTTTCTTGTTTGTTTGTTTTTGTTTGCTCATAGTTTGATTCACAGATACAACGACAAAAACATAGCTGAAGAGACTTAGTAACACTGCTTGACTTATACATGACTCAATCACTTTTTTATTCAAGTAAAATTCACATAATATTTATAATTTTAGCCATTTAAAGTGTACAAATCAGTGGTTTTCATAATGTTTTCCAACTGTCATCATTGTCTAACTCCAGGATCATTTTCCTCATCTAAAAATGAAGCCTCAAAAAATAAAATAAAATAAAAACGTAGCCTCCTGCTCATTGAGTGATTCTTCCCCATTTCCCTGTTCCTTCGACCCCCAGCAGATTAGTGATCTAACCTGCTACTGTATCTGTCCTTATATGTTTGTCTATCTTGAACATATCACATAAATTAAATCATGTGATACAAGACCTTTTGTGCCTGGCTTCCTTCCCTTTATCTACACTGTAGCATGTATCAGTACTTCATTGCTTTTGAAGGATAAATGACATTCCAATGTGGGAACATACCACTTTTTGCTTATTCATTTATCAATTGTATTTAGGTTGTTTCCACTTTGGAGCTACTAGAACACATGTGCAAGTTTCTGTTCAAATATCTTTTTCTCAATTTTGAGGAGTACAAGACAGCGGTGGAATTGCTGGTTCTTGTGGTAATTCTATTTTAAGCTTTTTGAGGAGTCACCACGTGTTTTTTTTTTCTAAACCTGCATCATTTTTTTCTCCCACCAGCAATGTAGAGCTTTCCAATTTCTCCACATCCTCTCTAACATTAATTTTCTGTTTTTGTAAATTATTACAATCATTTTAGTGGGTGTAAAGTAATATGTCAGTCTCTTTTAATAGATAATTGCCCCTCATAGAAACCAATTCACAAGCAGAGAGGATATGTCAGGTCTTAAGTTTTTCTATTTTGTATATGAAGCATTAACTTAATTGAGAATATTTTCAGGTTAGCTGTAGAGTGAATGTAATGAAATTCTAACGACAAAACTGTCTTTTACCTAATTTCTGCACCCACTGCCCATACAGCCATCATGACCAAAGTCAATACCTCTAAAGATGACTGTTGATGCTCAGCTCTCTGAAACATAGCCTGGTGCATTTAGTCATCAAGTGGCAGAGTAATCTACACCACTGTGAAGTTTGGCTAGTAAATGTTCTTCTAGGGGAGGAAAAACTACTCTTGTATTATGTGGGAATTAACTTGATGAACATTCATCATTTTCTCACCATATGTTCTGTATTTTTAAAACAAAAGGAATCATAACTGAAATAACAATTTCCTACCCCATGGTAAGGGGTAAGACATGGTAAGACCATTTATATAAAGTAATGAGTTAAACAGCTTCAGCCTTATGAAATCTCAAATTCCACCCTAACACTTTTCTCTTTAATAATTCAGTGTCATTGCACACATTCCTGTGAGAGTCTGTTGCCGTTCATTTTCATCTCTGATTGCTAAAATCAACACACTACAAGTTATTCTCTCCCTTCCGAGGACGCTTAGTTTGGGAAATTAAAACACATATATGTAAATTATTACCTGGACAAAGCAACGGGGCTTTAAACATTATACTTTTTGTATTTAATTTCTGCATCCTTTTCTGTATGCCAGACTCTCTGGTACATGAGCCTCTGTGAGGGGAGTTTCTGTTTGCCTCTCCTTGGGGTAAATATACCCAGGGAAGCAAACACTAAGATTCATTTCACAGTGGGTGCTTTCTCTTTGAGGGGGAAGAACTAAGAAGAAACTGAAAACAGCAAGCTCCTAAGAAGCTGGAAACTAGACACTGCCACAAGTCAGTTTTCCTGGGAACTGACATGGTTGGAACAAAGATTTCCAGGTGTCTGGCCAGCAGAGCAGATCTATGAAAAGAATTTAGGGGATGGACTGTGGTCCTTCCTTTGACTGGAACAACCTGAAAGCCGACTAGACCCTAAACTCTAGAACGGTAGGGTGTCCCAAAGGTCACTTTAAAACCATGATAATTGAAAAAATCTATTCTTTCTTCCACGGAAAACCCTCCATTTCTAGATGGAGTCAGCAAGCTTCAGGTGTGCCTACATTCATGTCTCTTAGTGGGTTGGGCACACGAACTAGAGCCAGGTCGTCATCCCTCAAGGGCACTAGTATTGCATGGAAAAACTCAAATGCCGCCCCTTTATCCTAAGGTGTGTGACAGGTCTTGTCACCCGCACAGCCAGCCGCTGGTGGATTTAGAGGAGCCAGCATTCCAGCCCGCCCAGACATCCACGCTCTCCTTCGCCCGCACCCAGCCCTGCCAGCCAACTCTCCAGGGTACAAAGTACAGCCGGGACGCGGGCGGAGCCCTTCCGAGCGGAGGGCAGCCTTATCTTTCCCGAGTGAATACCTAGATGGATTTCCAATACCGTGCCTGGCACGTTCCGGAGGAAGTGTCCAGCTCCTCCTGAGCTCCCAGCCTCGCGCCCGGGGTTTCTACAGTAGCTATTCCCGTGGGAGACGCGGGAGGGGGGGGGCTGTGGGCCCCACAAGCTTTCGTAAGATTGGCAGCGGTTCATTCAGACCTCTGAAGCCCCTCGCCCGCGAGGGCGGCCCTGAGCCGAGCGACTCAGGATCCCTAGAGCATAATCGTGGCTCTTCCTGCTCGCTACGCTCCCGGCTCAGGACCAGTTTCCGCGACTCCAAGAGTATTCGCGTGGGCACTTGTGCAGTGGCAGAGCCCAAAGGGAGCAGGACCGCGCGGAGAACGTCAGCGCGCCGCCAGACCGCATGCACTCTGCACAGGCCTCCTACGCGTCGGGCTGGAGGTAGAGCGCCTTGGAAGGAGCCCCTTAGCTCCCTCGGCAGGTCTGAAGGGCAGGGCCAGCGGGGTGGGAGGTGGGAATTAATGGTCCCGGAGAGAGCATCCCTGGAGAGCTGCTAGGGTTCTCCCCAGGAGGGGGCAGCAACTGAGGGAAACTGAGATCAACTCCAGATAGCCATGTTTGGAGTTCCTTTCAGCCTTTGCTTGGGGTCGGAGTTGGGTGGGGTGGGACGGAATTTGCACCCTAGGAGCCCAGCTTCAGGTAGGCGGAGACACTCCCCTGAACCCTCTGGGGGGCGCGTAAAGGTACCGACGGGGAGCGTTTAAGCTGCTCCTCTAGTTGAGCCTGGAAGGAAAAATTGGGGGAGGGAGAACAAACCTCCTAGGTGCCCCCCCCGCCCCTTCGTAGTTGCTGACGCGCTGGTGGTGCCTATTAATCATTCACCAGTCCAGGGCTGCGCCAGTTAGCGGCCGTGCCGTGCGGGGCTCTAGCCCCCTGGCCGCTTCTCTCCAAGCTCCTGTGTGCCCAGACGCCCCGGAGCGGCCAGAGGCAGCTCGCAGGCAGCCGCCGGGCTATGAGTCCTGCCGGCGCTGGTAAGAGCTGCTTTCTCCGCCGCCGCTGCGCTCTA